AGAGAGAGAGAGAGAGAGAGAGAGAGAGAGAAAGGGACAGTATTAATGAGATACTACTAAGTCGCGTCTTCGATAATCTCAAGGTAAAGCGTTTATTTTGCTCCCGTAATATCAGTTGATGTCGAATTCATTTGAATGTAATTAGCCATCGACACCCAGGAGATATGAATGCTTGGGACGTGAATGATCATATTATTCACACACTGATTAATCTCACGCCCTAGAAATTGAATGTTCTAGTATGTTTTTTATCAACGAGACAATATGAAAAATTTCTTCGAATTTACGTTATATATTCGTGTATACACATTTATTTTGAAAACATATAATCAACAATTTTGTTATTAGTAAATTAATAAGTAGATTATATCTTTTTATGGCATATACTATAGCTTTTATTCTACCTGATTACAGTTTTATTTGTCTAACATAGTGATTGCGAATATAGATAAAACTTAAATATAAAATAGATATTAAAATGTTGTATATAACTTAAACATTAAATGTACATAGTAAGATTATTAATTAATATAATTAATTAAAAATTACATAAATAAATACTGCATTCATTTAAGCCATCTTCAAATATAATTCTCGTTAGAATTCACAGAATGATGTATTTTCATGTATATACTTATTTTAGTGTGTATCTTATTCTAAATTTATCAAATATTTTTCGTATTATATGTATGTCAAATTGTAAACAGATTTCTGTCTTGAATTCTAACAGAAATTATATAATAACAATGAGTTTTATTTTAATAAATGTTACAAAGTTCATTCACACACACACGTACACATTGTTGTTTCCCTTTCTCGAAATAAACGCTTCACGTCGCGACTTCGTGATGTTATTCCACGTGAACCGAGAGAGAGAGAGTCTAATTACAAATTCGTGCTGATCACGTGCTTGGTTTTAATGACCGGCGACTTTGTGGATTTTGTCGTGCAATTTGAGTTTCAAAAGAGCCGCTCTTAGAAGCACTGATTTTCGTTGTGGTCTTTCGAACATGCTCTTAAACATCAAATAACGTGACGCTAAAAACTGTAAAAAGCAAGGAAGACGCCGTTTTATTCCCCGATGACGATCGTTAGCGACAAGAGCAAGTAGTTTCCGCCGGCCTACAACCATCGTAGCTGCTGGAGGCCGATAGAAACCCCTTTCCTTGTCGCTTTTACGGCGGAGACTTCGCTTCGGTACTCTTTTGCTACGCTGCTATTCTTCGTGAAACTTCATAGAAGAATTTCGATGCGCAGTTCCCGGCGTTTGCGCTTGAAGTGATACTGTTTAAAACGCAAATTGTTCCTCTTCCATAATTCCCAAGGATTAATCCGATTTCTCACATCAATTGTAACAGTTTGTGTGAAGTTGACAAACAATTATATTCCATGAATAAATCTATGTTAAGAATGTACTTGGAAGATTTAATTTTCCTGATTTAATGCGTTTTTACTCTGGCATTCAGTATCATCTTAAGATAGTCGGGTAAAACTTTCGTAAACTTAGATGCACATTTCTAAGTCTTGGCATAAGTTTCTTATTTGCTCTAATTTCTTATTAAGGTTTTCCTTCTTCAAATAAATTTGCCGCAACGCCAAACTTCTCGCTATCTTTTGAACATGCAAATGTTGTTGAAGGAACAAAGTAGATTTATCGTGTCACTGACCGTCCTTCCCTCGATTATTCTCGGCAAGCCTGTTTCGTGATGCGATCATGAGAGACATGTTGATATCACCGATGAACTTTTTTGGCTGTTTGCCAAAACGCGAAAGCGTTCAATTACTTACAGGCTTTCTCTCCGATTTAGTTCTTCTCTCGTTATATCGTGTTCCACACGCTTAAACATCAGTTAGAGAGATAGATTTACTTGACGAAATGTTAAGTTACATTATCCTATCTAAATAACCAGTCTTTTGCTCGACGCACGTACATATTTTGGCTCTTATCTCACGTTGACAGTGATTCTTCATAGTAGACAGGGATAAGAGAAATCCAAGAATAGAGAATCCGAAACTCCAGAATAGAGTTGAGGGAAGGCAAAGAAGCGGGCGCTGATATGTAGTATATTTAACAGTGTTTACATAGTGAAATATAAATGAAATGCCAATTTAATCTCTATTTAACGACGTGGAACAATCAATTCTACACATGCAAACATTTTCTTAGAAATTCAAAATCTACAAAAAAACACGATATCGCATGAGCGATAGTAGTGGCACTTTTCGTATTTACCTTTATATCGCACGCGATAACTTCCCGCAGCTCGCGTAGGAAAGCCCCGAAGAATGGTACCACTGGGCATTCCGGCATCGCGAGAGCGCGAGCAAGCGCATGTTCGTATTCGGAAGACAAAAGGGCAGAGGAGAGATACTCCATGACTGGGATGCGCTCGTTCATGCCTCGTTCTTGCCAAATCGGCTTCAGCTTGTTGGATCTGCAACATAAGCAACATTCGTTCGCAATTAGATGAGTTATACTTCTTCAGATAATTAAGAAGTATACCGCTGACGACAGAAATTCGTATAAGTTAATGCGCGCTTTCCAAGCAATGCGCGGCGACGCGTTTAGAGTATTAAGAAGTTAAATCTAATTTAGTATTCTAATGACTCTTCTGATAACTAATAATGTTTCAATAGTACTCTTTTCAGTTATATTTTTATTTTAAGTACACATGATTGAGACTATAGTTTCACTTGATACTACAAAAGCTTTGAAATATTTTTTGATTGATCAATTAGTAAAATTCTTTCTTCCGCTTGGTCAATCAAAAAAAATCTTTGAAACATTTGTAGCGTTAAGTGGACCGCATACTGAGTCTTTTACGTCCCGCGTATTTCTTTTTTTTTTAATATTGGAAACATTTCCCGGATAGCACAGAAAGTTCAAAAGAATTCAAAAAGAATTTCAAGTCAAATGTCATAAAGTCTGATGTAACAAGAATTCTTTTCAGAAAAAGAATTTCTTTTGGAACTCTCTTTGTGCTATCTGGGTTTACAACTACTTTTTAACAATGTTAAAGTATATGTAAGAATCACTTAATCATTTTTATATAAGAAAGTGATGAAATTAATTTAGGATACGATCGATTTATATTTAATAGGACCGGAAAATAATCGTGTACTAAGATTAATTGATTGATTACAAAATGCATAAATATAATTTATTGAATATAACTTTAAGTAAAAAAATTAAAGTATTTAAGTAAATTAAAGATTACGTACTTTAAGTCAAAAGATTAAAGTACTTAATAAGTTAAAGATTATGTACTTAAAAGAGGATTTAATACTTTAATATATATAATTTAATTTGAAGTAACATTTGGTAATTCCTACTAATATCTTAATTGTGTACACTAACTTTATATGGCGATTTACTCTATACGTGCAGAATTATTAAGCTTAACTTTAACTAAAGTAAATTTTAGAAGCTGCTAATGTTAAAGGCGTGGACTCAAATATCAAATTAATTTAGAAAGCAAGTTTTGATATTTTAGTATAAATAAAACATGAAATTTCTGTCTTTGAAACACAGGTACATAATTTAATATTATGAGTTTAACCTTTTAAAATCTGATTTTTTTGAGAAATTAGGACATTGGACAATGCTATAAAAAAAAAATCTAAAATATTTATTTTAGTTCAAAATTAGACTTAACACACATTTATTTTTTCCATAAATGGAAAAATTGTTTAGCAATTAGAAATTTAATATCTTTTAAATTTTCTTACATTTAACGTGTGAAATATGAAAGGTTTAGAGATACGAGGAAAAGTTAGATAAATAATTACAAATTAGCGTCGTGAACGCAACAAGATGCAATTTATATTAATACGATTAAATTGAATTGGTAGTCGCCGATATCTGCATGAAACAGCCGTGTTTACGCTTCTTGCAAATATGCTTCCTCTGTTTCGTGTTCTAATGGTCGTTAAAATCACGAAATTTACCATTACAGCGTTAATTATCTATTTCTTTCAGTATTCTCCGTAGTACAACCAGTTAGCTTCGAATACTTTAGCTGAGAATGTTTCCGAATGTGTGAGACGTCAGCAGGCGCAACGCCCAACGATAGTTCTAGAAACGATATTCCCGCACGAAACTTTTATCCTCTCATTCGCGGAACGAGTACAAGAGGACGGTGTCTAACTTTACAGTCTTGGCAATAAAAAGTATTTTATTTTTACGTTGGGGATTTCCGATGGGAACAGGCGGTAAAGGTTTTCCGCTGTGCCACTTATGGCGAAATTCATTCGTTTCGCGAAACATAAAAAAAAAGAGTATAGGCGCTTAATGAGTGCCGTTATCCGCGAGAAGTGATAACCAAATGGCGGATTAGCAGAGTAGAACGTAAACAGAAAATTTCTCCTATAAATAAACAATATTAAGTTCGCCGATACGATTTCCTCCATCATTTCCGAGTCATCGATCAAATAGACGATACTTATGGCTTTTTTATTAGATTGCTATCGATTGAATATATAATGTATTTTATTTGCACTACGCGTTAAAAATTATACCATACTACCACAATAATACCACATTACAAAGATCGATTAATAATTTTTTCAATGATAGGAGCAGAGACGCGGAAATCAACGGTAGAGGCAGAAAGGGGGAAGTCAATTTTGAATTCTTCAAGCGGAAGTGAAGTTCGATCCTTTTCTACTTCATATTTCCTCTCTTCTATGAGAATAAGTTTCTGAGATATTTTCGGAGACGTTTTTCCCTATTTAAATATGCACGTGGAACATCGATCAAGACTTCCAAATAGCGATTTTCAACGTAGTTTTCGTTTGGCAAGAAATTCTTTAATAAAGTATTCTCCTTTTTAGATGTCCGATAGATTACAAAAAGTCCGTACTTCATGCGGAAATCTTTTTTTATTTCTTTTTCCCCGAAGCACAAACAACAGTATTAAGTCAATCAGTGTCAGCTTTTTGCAAGTGGATGGTCAATAGAATACTTTCATACCGTATAATGCAGCAAAGATGTAAATAATAATAAATTAGAAACTGAAATGCAAACGAGAAATTTGTGTTATTTTACTCGTAAATAAATTTACGGGTAATATTTTAACAAAAAAACCACTTTGATTTCAGCAAATGGTATATATGTGTGTGTGTGTGTGTGTGCGTGCGTGCGTGTGTGTGTGTGTGTGTGTGTGTGTGTGCGTGCGTGCGTGTGTGTGTGTGTGTGTGTGTGTGTGTGTGTGTGTGCGTGTGTGCGTGCGGGGCAGTTAAAAATCAAATTTTCCACATTGTCAATTTCTTTCACAGCCGTGATGTAAAAATGTTGCGAATTGTTTCTTGATACATTAAAAAGTCCATCATGTAAATGCCGCTTTATTTTTTTCTTTTTTGAGTTTCTCTCGTGTCGAGAGAGAATTAATTATCAAATAGAAAAGAAAACAATTTTACGGGCGAATCGCCATCGTATTTCTTGATCTCTGAAAATTAATGACACACATTCATTACTCGAATTACTTTTCAACGGGAGATTATCCCACTCCCTTGCGAGGGATTGAGTTGAAAGAAGTCGCAGTCCCGAAAGAACTCGTGAAATAATGCGATTACGCCATTGTGAATCGTTTCGGGAAATGGATAGAGCATCGAGTCGAGAAATATTCGCAGAATGAGCTACGTGTCGTGGCACTCGATAAAACTTTCACGAGGAGCTCTTAATAAAGCAAAGTACCACGGAAGCCACTCTGTCTTGTAATAAGACACGCGATAGGAAGCCTACAACAAGATATATCTCTGTATTTAATAAACATTAGACTTGCCTGAGTCTTTTAAAAGAATTGGAATTCTCGATTTAATTGATTACTCATCTGACATGAAGTGATTATTGCATTTTGTCCAATTCTATATATAAATAACGCATATTTTTTTTTATGGCATATTTTTTTGACGAGTTTAGGATCTTGATTTGTCTGATAATTTTACGATTTACCATTTTGAATTAATGGATTAAAAATATTAAAATATTCAATATTCTTATTTGAAATTATTTTAGCATTCTGAAGTTTACTTATTATTGTCAGGTTTAAGAGTACAATAATAAAAAGAATTAATTTAATAATAAGAATCTCTCATTTTTTAACTTGTTAAAATTTTTTAAAAATTTATAATTGAAAATTCTGACATTAAAACAATCGTTATTTTTAAAAATATAAACAATAGTAATTCTCATTAAATATTTACAATTTATTGGTAACAATCGTGTACGTAATTAACATAATCAATTTATAATTATAAATTGCTCCTCCCTTCCCTTTTATAATTAGCAAATGTATATGCATTTCTTGTTTTGTAGTTTCATGGTAATGCACTGGATGTTATCTTAAGATAAAACATACGATGCATGAGACAACAAAACGAAGAAGCAGAAACACGCCCGGAAGCAGGTCGTTACCGCGCATAACGTTTATGCCTCAGCCATAGTAGAGGGAATTTAGTATAAGTATTTCAATCAACTGGCGAGCGTTTTCCGATTTCCTATTTGAAATTTAAGCATTCTTGCAACATATTTAGCAGAAATACATAAAGAAATTACATGCAATGATTATTTTTTGTTCAAGTTTAAAGATTTATGTATATAAGTTAGGTGTAGTAATATTATTTTTGAGAGGAAGTGAACATTATTATTCAAAATTAAATAAATTGAAGCAACACAAGGAATCAATTTCGAAATTGATATTATTTTCGATTATTAATAAAATATGATAATTAAGGTAATATAATACTTAATTTTAACGATGCACTTGACATCGAACAAAAAAATGACACGAAAAAATCTAAGACAATATTCTGAGAGAGAGCAATTAGCGTTTCAGTTCTCTCTTCAAGTTAAAGTCGCATAGATCGTTTGAAGGACACTTACTCGACCCTAATAACCATCCTTCTTTTGAGATGAAAGCATCTTCATGGAAAATCTGTAGTCGAATCCTGACTGTCACGAATCGTTTGGAAGCCTGACAAGTGGACAAAGCATCTTTGATCTCTCACTCGTCGCAAATTCTAGATATGCGACCGCGAAAATGTCAAAGATCTTTCTACGAAAGTATTATTTTCCAAAGATTTAAATCTCTATTGTCAAAATTGGATCTAATCATGGAAGATATCAAGACCTGATATTTATTGTTGAATAGTCTTTGATCTATTATTGAAGAGGAAATGTTTCTTCGGTTTGCTACTTAGGATACGAATCCAAAGAAATCCTTTTGTGTAATCGTATTAAGTATAGTTTGATCCGATTCTCGGAGATATCGCGAAGTTTTTATCGATAAAACTTTGAGGCGTAACATCATATTCGATTACATGACAGTTAAATTGTCTTCGATTTCTTTATTTACATTAATAAAATAAAACACCTGTCTTAATGTATATTTTGACAAACTTGAAATCAATCAAATTAATTAAACAAATTATATTAAAATATAATCAGAATTCCAAATTTTCTTTAATATGAAGATTTTTCTTGAAACATATTTTTAAATATCTTATTGCGATGAAAATATCCAGTTTAAATCCTTATTTTCCTATAATTTGATTAATTAATTATACATTAATCTTATAAATCTGTTAATTGATTATATTTTTGAATGTCATAAATCTTTAAAAAATGAAAATTTAAAATTTTGTTAATATTAATATACACGTAATTGAATACTTATACAATTAAAATTAAATCATAATATAAAAACAAGAATTGCAAAGCAAATATAATGCATGTATGTGTTCAATACTTTCATTTTCAATTACAATAAACAGTTTTATCATAATTTATCTTTTAAAACTTTATATCTTTTAAACAATTTGTAGAGTTAATCTCTGAAGTCAATCTTTAATTGAGTATTAAGCTGTAATAGTTTGAACTCTTTAGAATGTAATTTTATAATTTATTAAAATATTACGTTTAAAGACATAAATTTATAAAACAATTCTTTATATACGTGTAAATATAATTTACACACACACACACACACACACACACACACACACACACACACACACACACACACAC